TATCCCTATCGTTTAGTGCCTCATATTTTTCATGTCCAGTGTTTCCGGTTACCATAGTTAGATATCCCCCTCCCTGTTGTTTAGTGTCTCCCATTCTGCTATTTGGTATCCTACCTCCCTGATATTCGGTATCTCTTCCTGTTGTCTGACGTTTTAATTCCAGTTGTTTATTATCTTCCATCCTAGTTGTTGAGTATCTCTCATTACTGTCGGTTGGTACTCCATATCCATAGGATTCAGTACCTTCTGTTATTTGTTTTTGATACCTTCCATCTTTACCGTCTGCCACCACATGTGCATTTCTTGCCACTGTCGCATAATTTCTTCGCCCGTCTTGTTCCGTTCTCGTCATTTGACACCCTCCACCATTGTCATTTTGTCTCGCATATTCATTGTTTTCAACTCCTATAGTTCGATATTCGATCCCCGTTTTGTGCTTCTCATCCTTGGAATTTAGTATGTCCCAATCTTTGGTATCTGTCATATTATCTAGATTGTTTGATATCCTAGCATTTCTAGTGAATGATGTAGCTTTGGTAGGGATAACTCGCGCAGGAAATATTACTTTCATATTTTTATCCTCTTTATTAGCATCACAAAGATTAGAACCAATAACCGGAAACGCACAAACATCGACATATATCTCTTCTAAATCTTCACTGTCCCAAGAAGCCTCCATCATAATTGTATTAATACTTGACTTGTTTTCAAAGAATTTCCATTCGGCAACAGGTTCTTGTACTTTTAATCTAAACAAAAATATATTAATTACTTGTCGGATTATAGTATTAATCATAGCTTCATTCTCTGATAATTTTTCTTCATTTGTAATTGTTCGATAACAATTCATTAAGTCATTTATTTCGGATCTTAATTTTACAATTAAAGGATGCTCTTTATCACCAATATTAGAAAATCCACGATTCCCGAGAACACCGTAAATTTGTTGACGTAATTTTGTCGAAATAGCTTTGCTAACTGCATCAGTTCCTGTACGATATTCTGGAATTGATTTAGTCAAACTCAACAACTGTTCTGTTGTATTAACTATTTTCATTTCCAAATTTTGATCACCCCATTCGATTTCTCCTTTGTGTTCTTGAAGTTCCAAGTATTCATTGGATTTTTTGATAATGGTCTCGATTACAGTACGTTCTAATAAGCCAGAAATAAGATTTTTATTTTTTTTCACACCACCGGAAATTGAACAACCATATTGGTGTAATAGTTTATTTATTTCAGACTCATTAATAATGGCAACTTTTTTAAGGCCACAAAACTTATCTAAAATATTATGTAAATCAAGAATATCTTTTGAAAGTTGACCAGCGCTATCAGAATCTTGATA